ATTCAGATATTTCAGCTATGTGATTCCCAGTTTCTTCTGTGCCAGTGTTCTCTGCACTTGTTATGGGTGGGCTTGGGGTCTGAGATTGCATTTTGCTCCTTCTCTTTGTTATTTTGTATAGCACTGACTTCTGAACTTTGGTGTAGAGCTTTGGTGCAGTTACAACCTTAGCACCTACAGAAATTCAGGTGCAGATCTGCAAAGTTTGAATTTATCCAGTAGTGCCTGGCTTGGGTCTAGCTCTTTAGCTCAGCTCCTTACTTCTGAAACCCTTGAAAGTGATCTTCTGTGCCCCTCTAGCAAGATGTTCTGCTCCTGGATTAGTTGGGTAGTTCTGGCTCCTAGTCTCTCTGCAGGGACTTTAGCTGCAGAGCTTCACCCCAGGTCTGTTTACCAGTCCTTGTCTGGGTCTGGAGGATTTCTAGGGGATCAGGGGTGTGCAGTAGCTCTCCCACACACTCACTGACCTTGGGCTTGGGCTGGTTCTAGGGGTGGTCCCATGGTCAAGGCAGTTCTCACTCACTCAGTGGGCTTGGGGGGGTGCTCCGAAGGTGTGGGGTTCCTGAGAGCATGGCAGAGGGTCTCTTGCACGCGGCATGCCTGGGCTTGGTCTTGAGAGATCCAGCGGGCGCCGTGGCTTCACTGTAAATTGTACCATTGAGTAAAAATCCCTTATACAGATATACTTCATATTTATCCATTCAGCAATTTAAAGATGTACACCTTGTTTTTATTTTTTAGCTTAAGGTGGCTCTGCTGAAATATTTCCCTCGCTGTTGTGATAACAAATTTTGATAGTACTGGTCTGAAACATTAATTTCATATATTCCATGACACAGAGTAATCATCTTTACAAGTCGGTTATTACAATAACTATTGCAATAAATATCTGTCTGAAGTTATTTTTTTTTGCTTTTTTTTTTTTCGGAACCAGGAATTGAACTCAGGCCCTTGAGCTTGCTAGGCAAGCACTTATCCTACTGCGATATCTCCCCAGCCTATTGTAATAAATATATTTAAATGGAGGGGCTGGGGAGATGGTTCAGCGGAATAAGCACTTCCCTGGCAAGCACAAGGGCCTAAGTTCAATCCCTGGTTTCACAAAAAATAAATAAATAAATAAATAAATAAATAAGAATAATTAAACAAAATCGCATCAAATATTACATTTTCCTACTCTTAGATATCTATGCTTTTATCTTATAGGAAAAATAATAAACTACAAATATAGAGAAAAGCCTAAGCACGTCTTCCCATTTCATTGAGATAAAAGTCACACCTCACAAAATTCATTATTTTGACCTTTCAAATATGCATAGCTAGATCACTTTCAATTAAGTTGCAACACTATATAGATAATGTTAAAACATCACCAGTATGCAATTAATTAATATATTGAAGAAATGCTTTGAAAGAATTTCATTAACCATTTGGGGCCAGGGAGATGGCTCAGTAGAATAAGAGCTTCAGTCTCAAGTGCAAGGGCCTGAATTCAATGCCCAGTTCCTCACCACCAAAAAAAATTCTGCCTTTATTGCTCTGTACATTTAACCCTTGGGAAAGAATAATTTGGTTTCTACTTCTATGTGCTTACCCATTATGTGTATTTTTACAAGAGATTTTTATAGCATTTAACACCTTATGTATGGCTTTCTTCATTAAGAAAATGTCTTCAATATATGCATATGTTATCCTATGCACCAGTACTTAATCTAATGTTTTCCTTTGTTTTTTTCTTTCTTTTTATTTCTCTACCATTCAAACTGAATTTCACATTTGGAAATTTCACATTTCTTCATTACTTATTGAACTTTTTAAATATAAAATATTATTGTATGTATTAGGTTCACAATATGGTTTTCTGAGATACATGTAAGTAGAAGAATAATCACTATAGTACAACATATATCTGATTTTACAGTAAATTGTTCCAGTGGGTAAGAATCTGTTATACATATATACTTCATATTTATCCAATCAGCAATTTGAAGATGTACACCTCATTTTTATTTTTTGACTTAACATGGTAATATAGTTTATTACACACAAAATTTTTCTACATCACAAATTTATGAATGCTTACTTTAGCAAACATTTAATTTAAATGTGTCACATTAATGAAGAGTAGAGCTTTAATTTGTATAGAGTTAAGAACTGATTTTTGGAAATTCAATGTATAAGTAACATTAATTATAGCATTTTTAGCATTAAAATTCTATACAACTTGAGGATAATGTTTTTTTTTTTCTTGGCAGAACCGGGGATTGAACTCAGGCCTTTGTGCTTGCCAGGGAGGCGCTTATTCCACTGAGCCATCTCCTCTGCCCTCTGGAGGATAATCTTAACCATATGTACAAATCTCTGGTCAAACATTGTTTCACTATTTTATGGCATATATTTAGGAGTTAAATGCTATTATCTTAACTATGTTTAATTTAGTGGGTAGCCACCAGTTGTTTTCACATATGGTGTATTATTTTATATCCCATAAGAAATTTATCAGAATTTCAATATTTACACAGTATCAGCATTTACCTTTCTTTTTCTGTTTTTCTTTTGCTTATAGTGATGTTAGCAACATATATTCTTGGATTTTGTTTTTGTTATTTTTTAATTATTTTCAATTTTAAAGAGAGCACAAATTAGAAATAAAACAGAAAAAATACAAGTGATAGAGAATTTAACTTAACAAAGTAATATGAATTTCAGTGTTTGTTCTAATAAACGTGTTGTCTTCCAATCAGTTATATTAATACCAAATATATGCATTTAAGATGAGAAGAGGAAAGAAAAAAA